GTGAGATGGGGCTGCAGCCGCCCTGTACCCCAGGTGCCGATCGGGGCACTAGATGGACACTTGCTGGCTGCTCCTGGGAGAGCATTTCTGGCTTTCCTGAGCGAGATTTCTTGCTGTCTGCTCCAGGCAGTAACTGCTGCCTGTTCCTTGAGGAGGGGGAAGGAACCCCTGCACCCCAGCCCGCCCCAGCCACGCAGCGGGAGCCCCTGAGCTGGTTTTCGAGCTTGTTTCATTCCAGGAGGGATCCGCTGCAGGCTCTCAGCCGTCTGCTGTCTGAGGAGGAATCCGAGTGCTTCCTCCAGGGCTGTGAACATGCTCCCAGATGTACAAGATGCGATTCTCACTTTGCTGGGAGAGTTCAGCAGAGCCGCACCCTGGGGAGAGGGGCCGGGAAGCAGCCGGTACCGGTGGCTCGGAGGCCCAGGGGCTTTTTCTGCTGTGCGGCAGGACGTTACGGATGCTCTTGCAGCTGCCCTCTCAGCCCGTGTGTGCTCACAGGAGCAGGATGTTACTGACCTCTGCCTGCGAACACAAACACAAAACTGCCCATTGCATCCCTGGGGAGCCACCGCTCCAACCTCACGCTGTCCTTACTATGATCTCCCGTTTTACAAATGATGACCTTAGGCGCAGAGAGCCCGTGTCGTGAATGCTACACGAATTCCAGGCGTGGGGTCAGGGTTCTGGACTTTTTCTGCCTCGCTCTCTGCCAGTTCCTCTGCTGACACAAGCACAAAAAGCCCAGACAGCCCTTCTGCTCCCAGGGTTGTTGGTAGAAACGCGAAGGAATGGTGTTAAACCAGCCCCTGGCCACAAGAGCAGGTGCTGGATGGAGAAACCGTGCTCTGCTCTGCTCCGCTGATGCTTTTCCCTGTTTCTGTTCCCTGCAACAGGCATCATGTCCATTACGTTATTCCGTACGACGGGGACCAGTCGGTGGTGGATTCCTCGGAGAATTATTTTGTGACTGACAATGTAACCAAGCAGGAGATCGATCTGATGCTGGGACTTTTGCTGGGCTTTTGTATAAGCTGGTTTCTGGTGTGGATGGACGGGGTTCTCCATTACGCCGTGCGAGCCTGGAGAACCAGCCGACGGTATGGTAAGTGCCGCCCGACGGGCTCCCTCCGTCCTCCGTCCCTTGTCCTCCCAGGCTGGCGGAGAGGGAGGAGGTCGACAGTCTCGCAGCATTTATTCCATGAGGATTTGGCCCAACCAGCCATGTCCCAGCCCTCCTTATCCCAGCAGGACTGTTGGCGTGGGAGCAGCCCAGGATCGCAGCCCTGAGGGCGCACGGAGGATGCGCCGGTGCCCAGGGGTGGCTGTTGGGAAGCGACGTGTTCCCCCGTGGGCAGGCTGGCAGATGGCAGTTGTATGTCTGCACATGTGGGCTGGATCTTTTCAGGCCAGACAAAACTTCCCTGAAATCTGGATTTTTTTTTTTTTTTTTCTCTGCATATAATTTGCAGCCGGGCGCACGCTCGTGGAGCGCGGCCTCTTGTTGTTTGCTGGAGCGTGTGACAATGTGATGACAATGACAGACGGCTCTGCGTGGTGGCAGGGACACAGCAGCTGAGGTTTCCCCATCCTTGCTGCTGTTCCAGATGTGTCAGGGTGCGGGTTTATTTTCAGCAGTGCCATCAGCCCCACAGTGTTAGCCGTACTAGTTAGTCCTTGGACCAATGAGTTCAGCATCCTGGGCGGACAACCTGGGATTGACCAAACTCCCCCTCTGCCACCTCCCAGCATGGGCATCCCATGGACCTCCATTTTTTAGAGGGGAAAAAAGACAAAAAACTATTAAAATAGTGAGTGATGTGAAATTCCATAGCAATGTCCTTACAAATCTCAGTCTCTGACTCTGACTGATGGTGGCTGTTAAATTACAACCCAGAGAAAACAGGAGGGTGAGCAGGAGAAAGATTTATCTGTGAACCTGTGAGAAATTACGATTAGAGAAGCGGACTATCTCCTTCTAAAATCTCCGATCAAAACGACATTAATTTCTCATTAGTCTCCCCAGATCCCAGCAGCTGCTGGAGCGGTTTCTGAACCAGCCCCTC